ACTTCCATGTAGTTGTCTCCGGGCCGACTTGTCTTGCACCCGCCTCAAAGCTGTAACATATTACCTTGGTGAGGACTACTACCTAGTGACTACAGAATTATACATTTGAAATAATGTACAAGTTACGAAGAGTCCATAAACTATTTATTTTGTGCTTTTAAAAACGACAATGATTTTAAAGAGCAATTCTCTGTAACCACCAATGAAATTTTAATAGGGTCTGGCATACATGGTCTCAGATTTAGATGAAACTTTTATATAATAGCCAGTACCATACCTAAAGGCAATAACAGGCAACAAATTGTTCCGGAATATTCCGGTTGCCATGGAAACCACATAGGTTGATTTTAGCAATAAAAGGTCATATTTTAACTCTTGGAAAAGTGAAAAAACGCCATTTTGCACTGTTTAGTACTTGATTTATGTGTAACATATCCTTTTTTTCTGAATAATATAATATAACTGACCTTTAAGCTGTTTGAAATTCACATATGTTTTACTTTTACCATTATCAGTTATTTTGCTACCAGCTAGTAAAGATATGCTAAAAAGGCAAATTTGGATTTCAGTGAAAAATGCGTAAATACAGGGTATTCAAGTGAATTTTTTTCTTGAATGCAGCGTCTCCTAGTAAAATGTTAGGTATTTTTAGAAAGAACCAATATAGGTCTTTCAGAATATAAAATAAAATCAATGGGCAAATAATTGCAAAAAATATTTTTAATGAATGAAAAACACAAGATTTTCAAATTCTGTAAATTGTATTTTTCTACAAGTCAATAATGATTCAAGTGATTTCCATATTTAAACAATACAAAGATGGCATTAAATGTCTTACAATTTAACAAAAATGATCAGTTAAATTTTTCAGTCCAGAAAAATAGTTTTGTTTAATGAAATTCAATAAAAATGGTAACCGAATTTCGAAAATTTTACATTTTTTTTCTTTCTTAAATTAAGTATGTATCTTTACATTTTAAAGATTTTATTTTGTAATTGAATACAGAGGGAAGAAAGAACTGATTGTGCATATTAGTTTTTAACTGATACAGATCAACAAAGTTTGCTATTTATAAAGCAATGTGGGTAAAATGCTGGTCCGACTTAAATATTTAAAATAAAGTAAAACACCTGCTAAGTACATGCAAATTTCATTATATTAAAATCATATTGGTGCAATCATGTGTAGGTAATTTAGGAGATAACTGTATTGTATTTTAACCTTTTCGGACATAAAACGTAGATATAACTGTCGCAAATTGAGTTTACCTAGCGACCTGTAGCAGAGCTAGGTAAACGGATAATTGCAACAGTAAAATCTAGATTTATGTCCACAAACCTTAAAATACAATACAGTTATATCCATTCTAATGCAATAGTCAATAAAGATATTGTTTCTGTTTTTTATTTGGACATATAGTTGCTTAAAATAAAAATTCCACAAAATGTTGTTGACTTCTTTGGCACATAAACTTCATAGCAACATCATAACGTCATATGAATACTTCAAGTGTAAAACTGTAACATAGTATGTTTTGGGGCTTTGTTTACGCTTCAAATTTGGATATAAGCTATTAAAAAGTAGTTTGAGGTAGGCGTTTTTTTTTCTATTTCGCCTATTTATTGGGAAAATATAATGTCGTTGAATCCAATATGGCTGCTTCTTGCATCCTTTCAAGATAAATAAAATAAATCCGTCATGAATTCTTTCTGTTTGATGCTAAAGAAAATCTTTTTCTTTTTCACTTTCAATGCCCATCACATTTCTTTGGCACTCAAGTCTGTAGTACATGCATTTTCTAGTAAGACTGCTTGCATATTAGGACAATGATGTACATTATTTGACAGCTTTTGGGCATATAGAACTTTTGCCTGATCTTTTAATGGGCCTTTCTCTAGCTTAAATTCACAGCTGCCTTGAAGGAGGTGTTGATCAAGACTATTCTGGTTCTTGAACTCTTGAATGCAGCCATCCATAGAACAAATGAGTGCCTGCTTCTGTTGTTTTGAAGCCTGTTCTGTTCCTAAAAAGAGGATAAATAAAATAAAAATTGTTTCCCCAAAAAATAGAAAAATTCAAATTTACTACATTAACCAATTTCAGTTCCAATTGGCCCAGTTGTATCAAAAGATTTTTGAAAAAGTTTATGCCAGACGGACTCAAAATGGGCCAGGTGACCTAAAAAGGACAACGATACAACATGTATAAATTTAGGGTACAAAACAATTATTTGGATACAGGAAAGTATATTGTGTAAAATGGAAAAAAACAAACAATAAACAAATGATAAAATAAATGCATTTTTAACATAATTAAGAAAGTTACTTTAAAAATGTTGACTTTTCCAAACAGTGTTTATTATGTATTGTTGAATTATTTTTGTATCGTCCGTATTAAAATATACCATACTGGTTTTTTTCTTCATTGTTGAGGCATATGATAGAAAGATTTCATATCGATTGTACAACATTTGGGGTCTGACATCCGTGATTATCTTACCTCCTATACATTTCTAGGAATATGATTGGTATAAAGCGTCCGCGTGGAGACTGTGTATATTTCATATTAGGTTAGTAGGGAGGCGGGGCTTATTTCATACACGGTTAGTAGTGGAGTTACGTCCCTTTACATTCCATATAAGGTTAGAAGGTAGGCGGGGCTTATTTCATACACGGTTAGTAGTGGAGTTACGTCCCCTTTATATTCCATATAAGGTTAGAAAGGAGGCGGGGCTTATTTCATACACGGTTAGTAGTGGTGTTGCCTCCCTTTATAAAAACAAAACGGTATTGAGAAAACATCTTAAAAATTTCAACAGACGAAGAAATTGATTATTAAGATTGAAATGAATTCATAAAACACATTTAAACCTAACAAGTTGTTATTGTTGGCAGCTGTTTTTGTAGGATCAATGAGAGAAGTTTCTTAATGCTAAAAGTATTGAAGACTTCAGTGCTCATTTTGATAGGTCACTAGTCTAAATTTCACACGTTAAGATAGTCGGTAAGATAAATTCGTTACATAGTGTGTTAGTGACGTAATACGGTATATATGGGGTCAGTAAATTCCATATGGGGATTCGAGCTTTGCTCTCACCCCATATGGAATTTACAGGCCCCATATATACCGTATTAGGTCACTAGCACACTATGTAACTTATAATATTTCACTCTTTGAACTGCTATTCAAGAACCACGTAAAAAGATCAATATATTAATCTGTTATTTTTCTCCATTGTTGAAGCATATGATAAAAAGATCATAGCATGTCATTTTTCATATCACATGTATTATCAGCCCTCGGCCAATATCAGCCCTCAAGCCATGCGGCTCTTGGGCTGATATTAAACCTAGGGCTGATAATACATGCGATATGAAAAATGCCATGTAATAATCTGATATTATACAAGATATCTTATAAAGTCAAGTTTATGAGACATCTTATAAAGTGTATGCAATGATACATTTGTACTATTTTATATACAGTAATACCTACCCTCTTTCTTTAAGGTGGTAGTATTTCAGCTTCTGCAATCTTGTTCTTTGTATTTGTCTCAATAGTGTTCTCCTAAATTAAAAGAAAAGAAAAACTTTTTAAGAATATTTTAAACAAGGTACTACATGTAATTGAAATTGGAACAATAATGAATTCTGGAATACACATGATAATATTGAAGCAAAAACAAACCTATCTTAGAGGGTTTAGTAATATATGAATGGGTTAGGGTTCAGTTGAGGTATGTTTTATACACAAATGATTTAGAAATTTACCCTTAATTTACCCATAATTATGCATGCATGCATGCATAATTTAACCCCTATTGGCCCTAAGTGTATATGTAAATTAGATCAATTAAAACCTTGGTTTTTATTTTAATAGATGTTTTACTAATGCTTAATGATGAAACTAGTTTACCCAATAAAATGTGCAAAAGCTTAGTGAATATGAAGACCAAATTGGAACTTTAAAGTTTAATGTTATTTCTGAATTGAAAGATCTTCTTATTCTTGTCATAGTAAAACTGAGTACATATGCAGTTTGACATGTAGTTACAATATGGATCCCATACATACATGACATAACAATAAACTCACTATTGACTATTGAGTATACATATGTACAGGGAATCATATTTATACATGTATATGAAAAGACATACCTCCTCAACATGCTCAATACTGCTATTTCCAAATAGTTTTTCTCTACACAGTCTACAAATTGCTGTAATATAAAAGAAAATAGATACACAATTGATCTCATTCTGTGTATCACTATCAAAACTATTTAGGCCAAACAAAAAAATATGTGTGTTTACTGTCACTTGCTGAAAAAAAAAAGGGTAGGTAGGTAGGGATCTTTTTTTTTACATTGAGTCTATGGGAGCAACATTGTGACTTTAACAGTACTTAATCAAAAATAGTCAAAAAAACTTTAGGGTAGGGGACAAAAATTAGGGTAAGTAGGGGTACAGTAAACCCACATACTTTTTTGTTGGGTCATATACATGTACATGTATGTACATAAAAACATGAATTTTAAAACATACATGTATCTCAAGTAAACATGAATAAAAGAAGGCTGTCCGCGCCCTTATCGGAATATAAGCCTTCTGGTGCATACATGTAGTTGTGACAACATTAGGGCTATGTTGCGGCTTCATTGCACCAACATGTTGTGGCAATGATGCTGCATTAGCGTATTTCATATGCAAATTAGTTTTCTGGCACTGGTGCCAGAAAATGCTGTGGCTTCGTTGCCGCAACATGTTGTGGCTTCAATGCAGATATTGTTTTTTATTTTGTATGCAAATTAGTTTCTGGCACTATTGCGCCACTTATGCCTTTAAATTCTGGCTTCCTTTAATTATTGACTAAAAAGGTAAAGTAACGTCTGACCAGGCAAGTTTAGTGCTAAGTATACCAGAGAAAAAGTTTTAACTCCTTTATTTAACGTTATGATTTTTTTGTGTGCTCAGGGTTATTATTATAACTTTTTCTTTTAAAGAAAGTAAAGTTCTGTACTCAGAAGTTATTCCTATATGTAATGTACTTAATTTTCCTACATTGAGAAAAAGGAAACTGTCAACATACAAAATCTATACCTTCAATTACACCAACATAATATCCATGATCCCAACAGGAGCCCCTCATTTCAGTCAAAGGTGTTGTGTTTTGTCTGATTAGCAATCTAAATTCGTGATTATACTACATTTTTTTCCAAACAAATAGCACTTTCAAGCCGTCTTTAGAGGGTTACAAAGACATAATTGCCAGGCTGCCAAGTCTCACGCATTTTCATGCTTATTTGGCGGTATTTTTTCTCTTTGATCTTTACGTTTTTGGCCAAATCTCACGCATTTGCATTATTAAAAGTTGGCAGAATTAAATTGACCAAACTTCTTTCAGCATGCTCTGTAAAATTTTAGCGAGGGTTAAATTGAGAAAGGGAAGAGAAACCATGACTTATGTTTCAGAAGGTACCAATTCGCCCCATTAGACGATAGTTCGTCCCTGTTAATTAGGATTTTTTGAAAATGCTCTCCAGGTCTATCAGGAAGAAGACAATTGATTTAATTAAATGAGAGATTGAACTTTTATATAATGCATTTAATTAATCATGTTAATCTAATTTTACATACAAGTCTTCACAATAACAGAACACCCAATTCTTCACTAAAATCATAAGCTCAAGCAACATATGGTCCACTTCTAATAACACACCACCATGACCACAGTAAAAAGCTCAAACACTGGTGACATCATCAATGACATTATCAATGTTCTGGCTCTATTCTGGCATCATTTTAGTAGATTAAGAATGAGAAAATAATATGTGTGCTTTATGGCAACATTGTGGCGCTTTTTGTCGTGAAAGGAAATAGCGCTGCACTGTAGCCAGAATGATGCTAGCGGCATCATTCAGCACTTATCCGGTGTCAATTTTCTGGCAACCTGATCAGCAGCCGCAACATTGCAGCATTGTTGCTGCAACATTTTTTTATTTCATAAGGACCGGTATGAAATAATGTGATTATCATGCACAAAACCTTACAAATCTGGTAAAGGAAAGGAAACGTGAAACAGCATTCATGTTATAATTTTTGTCTCTCAAAAACAAGATTCAAAGAACTTCACATAATTTTTATGTTTTATAGTTTAAAAAAAGGGAATTAAAGAAGTTCATATGGCTGTCACATGCTAAAAACAATAAGCTTAAGGTTCATAGCCAACTGGTAGATAATATTAACCCTAAGGTTTTTTTTTGTTTGTGTGTGTGTGTGGGGGGGGGGGGGGGGTACCTGACAGGTGCATTTGATTTCTTTTTTATAAGAGGTTTATGGTATTAGGTAAATAGTATCTACTTACATGTTCCAATAGGAATGAAAATGCCTGTCTTTGTAACAATTCTTTGCAACATCTCGGGTGTAACATGTCGATCCACTGATTTTGTAGTAATATGATATTTCAAAATGACATTTACTGAAGGCACACCACAATTTTTCCTTCTATAACTCTTGTTAGTTGTTTCGATGATAATATTGCTATGAATATCACAGATCCTCAGTTGTGACGTACAATGTAATGTCAGATTTAAGTAAAGAAATTTCTGACAAAAATTTATACATGTCTCTTTTTCCAATGGAAGCATTTTCAAAAATACCTGTCGTCACTGCAGTTGTCACAATTGCCTACGAAATCTTTTATGCTACACATTTTATAACAATTATTCGAAGATTATATAAATAAATACATTAAAAAAGTTAGTTACGGTAAGCAAAATAAACTATAGTATAAAATACACTGACTGTCTTAGTTAGTTAGTACAGACACAGTTCCATTGTTCTGACAATATTTTCAAAATATGAGCAAATCACACCATTGTCACCAACTTAACCATATATATAAGTGTAGGCTAACATCACTGTGAAAAATTTATCCATTTCCCATTATGCTTGAATATAAAACATGAAGAAATTCGCAAAATAACATTGTTGTCTGCATTTGTTTACATTTTCCCTCCTGTTTTTAATTTGTTTCTCTACAAGAGAACTCCGTAAAGGGAGGTAATTTGATTAGGTTAATACAGGACAACTCAACTTTTCAGGGTCAATTAATTTCAACACAGTCAAGTTTGCCCACTGATTTTTTTTCTTTTCTTGTATAACCTTAATACATTCTCTCTATTCATATAATCAACAATATAAGAAATGGCTGCATTTTTTTACAACACCTGATCAAAATAGGCTCTAAAACCCCCCTTTTATTGCACTTTTTACCCTATTTTAGCTATATAGATTTTTTTTTTAAGAAATTTTACTGTTGAACACAATTTTTATTTGTTTTTTTTTAACTGAAAAAAGTTTTAAATGTCTGAATATCTATATTATTTTCTTTTTATTAGACATAATTGATCATAATTTGTAAACACTGCATTTTCCCTCTTTCTTGCCACTTTAAGTCCTGTTACCAAGGAAACGGTAAACATATGGGGCTAAGTGTAATAATATTTTTTGTTAAGCTCATGTGGCTCTATTGAACTAATAAAGTTTAAAACAAATATTTTTTAGTGCGTGCCGAAATATTTTGGTGATTACAGAGAATTGCTCTTAATTATTACATGTTTGATGATAGATTGGAAACCAAGATCAAACAATTAGTATGTAAACAATTGCTGTTTACGTTTCACAGATCAATTTGAGATCCCCATTGCTGTCCCCATTAAAGCCATGTCCATTTCTATAAAAAAATCATACAACAAATTATATTTCTATAAAGGCAATTTTTTTAATTAAAAAACTAAACTTTATATTGTTAAGATTTAATAACAGGATAAAGTCAGTAATTTCATTGTCAAAATATTAGGAAAACAAATTGTACTCGCTTTAAGCTGGAGACAAATCGGCAATTTATGCAAATAAATATTAAATTTTATATAATTGTTTTTGTATATTACTGTTACTATTACTATTGTCGGTCGTGTCATTTCAGCCACCGTTTTGTAATTTTTTTCGCATTGGTGGTAGATATTTGTAGTTCAAATAGTTGTTTTTCCCAAGGCCATTGTTTTATTTCTTTGATAAGGTCACAAGGTGACCTAGAAGCGTGTTGGAGAAGGGAAAAAAATGTTATATCAACTAATCCAGGCTTTTCTTATCAAAAAGCCGAACTAATAAAAAGTCAAAAGTCAAACATCAAGTGACAATAAGATAAAATTGAGTATGGAATACTTTAACAATAATATATATAAAATAACCGTATTAATCAGTTTTTCTCTCGCATTTCAAGTGCCTGAATTTTTGTCAAATTTTATTTCGAATGTATCAGTTAGCTTGCATTCAGAATAAAATCGTCCAATTTTTGTTTTGACCGTTGATGTTTCACAAAACATTTGTTCATTAGAAATAATTTCGTCTGAATACCACTTCCGAAACTTTCTTAAATTGTTCTTTAATCTTCCAGATGGTGAGTCGCTACATTGTTGCATAGTTTCCGTAATAAGTTGATTTGAACTGTTTTGTTCCTTTCTGATATCTATTAACTCTAAATAATGGACAGCATGGAGGCTAGTATATTCAGATGTGAATTGTTTAGTTAGCCCTTTTTGTAACTGTTCATACGGATTAATCTGTTCTAATCCCATTTTCCCACTATTAAACACAGATGATACACTACTTCCTCTGGTGTAGTTCACACCTCCACAATAAACATGTTCTTCCTGTCCATTGTTCGGGGTGATAGTCGTGAATGGAAGCAGATAACCGGATTTTTCGGAATCCAATGTGGAACCTTCAGACGCTGGTTTGGAATATTTATCTTCAGAATGTTCAGAATAATCATTCAAAATATTGTCATCGTATATAGCGTTTTCATCTATACTTTCATATGAATTGTAACAACTGTTATCTACCTCATTTATTTGATTTTCGGAAGGAACGTTTGATATTTCCTTAAGTTGTCTAGTCTTACCCCTATGGAAACAAATAAATATAACACACATTACTGAACATATGATACCAACAGCAGCTGATCCCACAGAATACACAAGTACTTCTCTCGTCGACAGACCTGTTTAACAATAAAGCAGAGCATAGTTTATATCATGGTATGTCAATTAAGAAGTCTGTTTTAAAGTTAATTAAAGTATTATAAAGTATAGTAATTATTTATATATTCCTCTTTTAATGGTTTTTTATTTCTTTCTATGGTTTTATGTGATTGTATTTAGTATATGTTTATCTCTTTGTTTCACATTTGAATGTAATAGAGTGTTTTTAAATTAAGCAAATGCTGTAATATTATTAATTTAATGGAATACATAATTTAAAACAACAATACCTATTTAAAACCAAAACCGATTTTTTTTTTTATAAAACAAAATGTTTAGAAACTGAAAATAAACGTAAACAATTCTGTATGTATACACTTGCAAGTTTGATAAATTACTCTGTAAGTATGTCGATTCTTGTTTAGGTTAAATGTTCGTGTCCGCACACTTTACCTTTTCGAAGGTGATTGCAGTGTCAACAAATCAAATGACAACGTTGGCAATCAAAAGTATATCAATCTGTTGATAGTATTATGTTTCAAACTCCACAATTACTACTTTATGAAGTTTTAAGTTGATTAATTTGTATATGTTAAAATTGAGAATGGAAATCAGGAATATGTCAAAGAGACAACAACCCGATCAAAGAGCAGACAACAGCCAAAGGCCAACACTGGGTCTTCAGCGCTCCCGACGGTGGTCTTCAGCTGGACCCTAAATAAAATTGTGTACTAGTTAATTAAAAATGGACGTCACACTTAATTCCAAAACATATAGACAAACTAACATAAAAAAAAACATACAACAAAGGCCAGCGGTTCCTGACTTGGGACAGGCACAAACAATGCGGCGGGGTTGCACATGTTTTGTGAGATCTAAACCACCCCCCTATACCTCTAACACATTTGAACAAATATCTTTAACATTTCAACGATTTGATATCTCGACAAACTAATAATATGACTTACATATTATGACAAATTGACAATTCTAAAAAAAAAAAAATGCAAACAAACACACTATACAAAATAAGTCGAAGAAACGGAAGAATAAGCCACTCAAACCACACAGCTCTGGAAAGGGATCCTTTTCCACATTGAGCATACATGGTGCTGCCCTTTTAAGTACAAATTTGGATAAGTGTCATTTGTTGATACACTATTCACGGAAAAGAGGAAAGAGGTATTATATAATGCTCAGTCAAATCGTATTAGCCTCCGTATAATTACTACTTGGCATCCTTGTATGAATTGCTTATATGTGTATTCTGATAGGGAAAGCAATCCCTGAAATATTGATTTAACTTGAAAATATATACTCAAATTGTAGGCAAATTTGGAATGTTGCTAAAATAATGGAAAAAAGGCAAACCATAAAATATAGAATGTCAACAAAACGTTTTTGTCTGTTGTGAAACACATTGACAATTATACTTGAACAAAAATTAAGTAAGAAATGCACAATATATTTCATTTCATTTGAAATTGGGGTTTTTCCGTTTGATGTTTGTATGAACTATACATAGATTAGATCCAGTATATCTAGCAATAGGAAACAGACAAGTTGTGGTGGTTTCTAAAGATGGGATTTTTAGTACTATATAACGTTTGGCATTGATACGAACTAGTCTAGAATGTGCTCGTAGTTACGTCGAATCGAACATGTCGATGTAAGTGACATTAGTATATACAGCAAAATTATGCAGTTGCTGCAACGTTTATTACATGTATGTCTTTACAGGTTTTTTTAATATGTATTTCAAACAATTTTACAGTTTATTGACATTCAAAAACCTGTAAGTTTGTTTGAAATAAAAAAAATATATCGCAAGAAAAAAAGATATTTTACTGGGAGCACCTAGTCCTATTTATGTGTTTGTCTTGTTTATAGCGAACTATGTTCAGAGTAGAAATGTTTTGAATTCGGACTAACTTAAAATAGCAATCGTTCATAGCACAGGTTTAAATTAACACGATACCGATGAATGATAACCTGTAATCAAGCAGTGTAATAAACATTTCATAACAATATATCAATGTTTGATTGATCCGATCAGTTTGCTTCACTTACAATATAGTTATTAATATAACATGTATAAGAAATAACTTTTTAATGAATATCAACATTAATAAAGACTGAATATAGGTCTCTCATGAAAGGATATCGTACCTACTTTCATCAACACTGTCATTGCATTGGTGATGTTTAATAAACACATTTGTTACCTTTTATATTTGTATTTTCCCTGAACAAAACACTGGTTTGCACTAACGTCTGACTTGTGTATGATGCGTGTTGTGAAGTAGATGTTGGCATTTCCATGGTGGCTAATGAATAAAAATGAGTAACAATTCTGTTATCAAGTCGATCTAAATTTTGAATTTTCTTAGCTGACTATCAAACCAGGTTCAATCCATCATTTTCTACATAAGGAGATGCTGTTGCTAGTAAGAAATATGTTAGTTAACACGACGGGTGCCACATGTGGAGCAGGATCTGCTTACCCTTCCGGAGCACCTGAGATCAACCCCAGTTTTTGGTGGGGTTCGTGTTGCTTAGTCCTTAGTTTTCTATGTTGTGTCTTCTGTAGTATTATTTGTCTGTTTGTCTTTTTTATTTTTATTTTTAGCCTTGGCGTTGTCAGTTAATTTTCGATCTATGAGTTTGACTATCCCTCTGGTATCTTTCGTCCCTCTTTTAGTTGTTATCCATTCGTTTGATGTCTTTAAGCTTTTGA